AGAGAGCATTGCTCTCTCAGCACTTTTAAATTCTTAGTTTCTTCAAAAATTGAGCTTCAGAAATTTTCTGCATTTTATTTTCTATAGATGTTCCTCAATTTCTATTACCTTCCCCCATCCATATCCTTAAACTTCTTCACAAGTTATAAAAGCCCACAAATGCCGGTGTGACCCTGCTGTACAGAACTGTGACCAACGCAGGATGCTGCTCAAAAATGTTGGGAGAGCCAGTTAGTTACCAAAACCCAAGGCAGTAGGTGCTACCATCTGTAATCACTTCCCCAGTGTCAGAATGGACTGCTTTCTCCTCAGTCACAAGATCATACAAACCTGAGGGAAGACTGGCATACTTCCCTGCTCTGGAATAGGTGAAACCTAGAACCTTTTCTATACTGACACTGCAGGCACTGCCATCCACAGAAGTAAAAGCATAAATTACAGTGGAGATTCCAGTGGGTGGGGAAATTTAATGGACATAGAATCACCTACATCCAAGTAATCCCACATAACAAGGGACTGTAGCAAGAGGCTGGCTAGGTTCAGAGAAAACTGTATCTTAAAATAATAATAATACGCATTCACAAGACAATCCATTTTGGAAAGTGGGTGAAGGTCTGTCAGTTGGAAATGGAAGAAGAAAATGGGTATCCAAATTAGGACATCACAAAAATGAAATTTATAACAGTACTAATATGATAACATGCTGTACTATATGCTGTCAGTTGTGGAGATCCATATTCTGTGTATGTCTCGATTCCACAATCAGTATAAATATGTCTTGATTCCAGTGGGTCCCCTAGTTGAATTGTATGACAATTTGACAGTGACTTGCCATGACATGCTCCCAGCTACTCCCAGTTTACTCCTGCACAGTTTGACGTGCAAATGTAATAAAAATACTTTATTTTTCTTCATCCAAATGCCTCATAAAGATTTATAGTAGTTTTGAACTTTGACAGGTAGATCCCCTGCATCTGGCAGGGTAACATTTCAGACTATTCCAAGAACAGTTGTCAACCTGCTTTGCACTGACATAGCTAATTCATAATCCATATTCTTAAATTTTGCACACCAAAAGGTCTAAACACTGCAGTATTATCCACTCAGAAAAAAATTTTGATAAGAACCTATCTTAAATGAATTAATTTCACATCAGTTTTCACTGATCTTAAGATATTCACAGGATATTTCCTATCTGTTTTCTGAATTTATTGAAACCCATTCCCCTGATGCTGTTCTCATTCTAGTTATTTTCATCCCTCTTTAATGACTGTTACAACTCACATCCCATGGTCAAGAATATCTAACAGTGAGTTCCATTAATTACTATAACACAGAACAAAATCAACAGAATCAAAAGCAAAGTTTGAACACTTTCAGAAAAAAAAACCAACACCACCATCAATTGTTTCTTAGCAAGTGGAAGTTTTGCTTACTCCTTTCGGAGTTCTTTCATTCTGCTGATGCTGAGGGGTTAAGGTTTTTTTAGATCCTCTAAAGCCAGAGCTAGAGTACAGTGGCAAATATACAGAAAATAAGCAGAATTTTCACAAGTAGTATTTTCACACATAATCACCGTAGTATTTCCCATATGCATTCTCCTGTTCTCTAGTTACACCAAAAAAAACCACCAAAAAACCAATAAGGGAGAATTAACCAACTGTCAATGAACACATTTATGGAAGATGTGCTGAAATTTTTGAGTATCTGAAATTTCAATTTGTAAAGCTAAATTACAGAAACTTTTCCCTTAGTTTGATTCCAAAGTTGGGAGAGGAGCATGGGAAGAGTGAATCAAACATTAGCTCTTTGCCAGATTTCTTATTCTGCTTTTTAATATTGTTTTTAATATACAGTTTTCCCCAGATAATATGCACTTGACTGGGTCAGATTGAAGGAATTAAAAATCTTAATAGCAAACTATTAGAGAAATAAAGGTAAGTATGGTTAGGCATTATTAGAGACTCTGTAAAAGTTCTAGCTCTTCACTATGTTTCAAGACATCTTGCATACCTTTTGCTATCTAAGAGCTCATCCTCTTCATTCCCACTTCTGTGCCAGTTCTAGCTTGCAATTTATTCTTCATCAAGTGATTTTATGCTATGGTTTTAATTAAGTCTTCTACAAGAAGTAGAAAACTATTTGCTATGTCAAATAAATGACCATGAAAAGTTAGCGGCAGTGAGAAACAAAATAGAGGAAAGAGAAGATCTCTCCTTTTTGGTGACAGTAAAACATTGTGCCAGTGCGAGCTGGTGGTGCAGAACTTTCAATGTATCAAGTGAAAGAAAGTTGAACAAACAGAAGAATGAGAGAGAAACATCTAATAACAGAGGCGTACTGATAATTCAGCAGATCTGCATTATGTCATCTGTATCACTAAAATAGATTTAATGTGCAAGTACCTTAAGATTCATATAAGTGCTACTCTCACTGACTTCAGTCAGAGGTGCAACTGCAGAGCATTTCAGAGCCATCCTCTCCTGCTCAAAGGAAAATCAAAGCAACTTCAGCTCTGGAGTGTAATACTCAGCTTAGATGAGGTCTTAGATACAATTATTTCAATTCATTACTAACCTTAAAAGCCTCATACTGTGCTCCTGCAGAGTTCAGTAGCTATGTCCCACCTGCCCTGTCCTCCTATGGCACCACAACTACCATTCCAAACACAGAGATAAACCCTAAAGTTGCAGCATTGGGGTTTCACTGTGAAAGGTATGCCACCATAAATTCAAATATCGAGAAAAAGACTACCAGTAGTTCTGATAAAAGAAATCATTTTTACTGTTAATAAGGACTGGCACTGCATTAATCACGCAGAAGAAACGTGACCGTAGTTTTTACTGCTTCCTGTATGCTAAAAGACAAAGACTTTTGTACACTCCTCAAAGTCACCATGAACTCCAGCAGTGACAAGATCAAAATCTGAAAGCAAGATGAAGAAAACCTGGAAGCACTACAGTACCACATTAACCCTGAGGAAAAACACACTGCTGACAAAACGGTGTTCACAATATCTTCCCAGACACTTGTTTGAGTAGACTTAAAGTCACTTAAAGCCAGTTGTTCATGAAGTTGCACAGCAAAATAGGTCAGGGGAACTGCTCTGAAGGAAAATAACTCCAGTAGACATTAAGTTTCTGAAGGGAAGGTGTGCACCTGTTCCCCTTCTCCCTTTATGGAAGGGTACTGACTTAAGTGACTGCACTATCTCAGACTTTCTGCTTCTCCTTGTACTCTGAAAAATACCATGTAAAAAGCCTCCACAGTCTCGGAACACTCTAGCTGATGGAAAAGATATGGAGTACAGCAAGCAGATAAACAAGCCTATGCAAGGAGAGAAAAGAAGACTGTAAAACATTATAGCATGTGCATCTGGACAACTTCGGGAAACCTGCCTTCCATAAATTGTACATAGTGCAGAACACACAGGGCATCCGTAGAGACCGATGTGATGTGTAAGTGCATCTGGACTCCTGGAACACAGGCAGAAACCTAGAAAAGTATTTTTCTGCACAAGTGGGATGAACGCACATTTAAAAAATTATTTCACAGAATCGCAGAATCAATTAGGTTAGAAAAGACCTCTGAGATCATGGAGTCCAACTTACAAGTGAACACACCACCACCACTAAGTCCCACATCCACTCTTTCCTTAAACACCTTCAGGGACGGTGACTCCACCGCCTCCCTGGGCAGCCCATTCCAATCTCTAATCACCCTTTAAGTGAAGAAATTCTTCTCAATGTCCAACCTGAACCTCCCCTGGAGCAGCTTAAGGCTATTTCCTCTCGTCCTGCCGCTGGTTGCCTGCGAGAAGAGACCGATGCCCATCTGGCTACAGCCTCTTTTCAGGTAGTTGTAAAAATCGGTGTGTCTCCCCGATCCTCCTCTTCTCCAGGCTAAACAAGCCCAGCTCCCTCAGCCGGTCCTCATAGGACTTGTGCTCCAGTCTCTTCACCAGCCTCACTGCCCTTCTTTGGACCCTATCCTTCAAAGCACATGCAAAAGCGCTCCTAATTACCACAAACCATTGCTGCCTACCTCCCCCCTACAGAGCGGTGGCTACGCTCTAAAACCCTCAGACGATCGGCTTTAGGGGTTTTTCTGGCATTAGGGCACCAGCCTGTGAAACCGCTCGTGTTTCCCGAAGCACGGGACGGGCCCGTCCTTCCCTCACTTCCTTTCCCTTCCCTTCATTCAGCACCCGCTATTTTGTTTCCGTCAACCGCCGCGAAGCCGCCGCGCACAGCGCTGAGCAGGACGCGGACCGCGGGACACGGCCCCCCCCCGCGCCTGCCGTCGTTGTTTACCTGCGCGGGTCTCGTGCTTGGGCACCCGGTAATACTTGTTGCCGAACTGGTCGGTGCCCACCAGCTCCTTGGCGGGGCCCAAGAGCCGGAGCCGCAAGGCGCGGAGCGCCCGCCAGGCGAGGCTCATCTCAGGATACCTCCGGCCGAGGCTGCGGCGTCGGACACACACTCAGGAACACCCAGCCCTCATCTATCCTGTCCCTGTCGAGCGCTTCCACCCCCAGCCCACCCCGCTCCCGCCTATGGGCAGCGGGCGCTGCAGCAACGCCGCTCGCCATTGGCGCAGGCCGGCCCAAGACGGCTGCGCGGCGGGGCGTGGGGCGGTGCTCCCGCCATGTTGGGGCTGCTGTCCGCTCGCCAGCTTGGGTTGGACGATCCCGCGCGGCTGCGCCGGGCCGAGCGCACCCGCAGGTACCGCGGCGGGGCGGGGCGGGAGGCGCTACGCGGGGGCACCGGAGCGGCAGCGACTGGCTCCGCCCTGCCGGGGAGCCTTGTGCCGGGGAGCCTTGACCGGCCCGAGTGCGGGTTGCGCGGGGAGCCGGAGTGGAGGAGCCGCGAGCCACCGCGGCGGCGGCTCCGGCAGCGGCTCCCCGCGCCCCGCCGGCCGCGTTTCGGAGCGTCCGTGGGTTTGCGGTGTCGTGCGTGGGTCTGAGCCGTGGCACGAGAGCACTGCGGTGCCCACTGTCTCATCCCCGCACCGCGGTGTCGCCTCCTGGGCAGTTCCACCGGGGGCTCGGTCCGCTCGCGGCTGTGGAGAGACGAGGTGTATGTAGTGCTCTGCGCCCGCATCGGGTCGCCCGCCCTCTTCCCAAACCCGGCCTGCTGGTTGATTGCAGGAGAATCAGATGCACGGCTTTTATTGGGTTCCCAGCAGCTTCTGTGGGAAGTGGTTGCTGCGTAGACAGGCTTATTAATATTCATGGTTATAAGGTGATAATATTTCTTCAACGTCAGAATGAGAATCAGTTTTGCAGCTGTGTTTCAAGGCAAATCCAGTAAAGCCTACGTCAGTTCAGTCGCTCACGGGACTCCATTGTAAGGATTTGTACTTGTGATTTATGGTTTTTGGGGCTGTATCATTGTAAAAAGAATGTTTTAAGTTGAAATGAATTTTCGTGATTCGGGAAACTCCTTTCAGCGAGCATTGTGACAATATGGTTACATCCTTTCTGTGCCCCCAGTGCTCATGTGGCATTCAGTGTTAAGAATGTCTGACATAAAAAACAGCTATAGTCTTCAGTGGATTTTATTTATAGCTGCATTTTAAAGTCATATGTTTTAAAACAGTTCTGCAGGGGCATTTCTTGCTTCACTAAAATTCAATCTGAAGCTCAAAGGTTTTAAACTAGATATCTTGTATATGTCAAAATTCTTATTCTAAGTGAGTTCTTCCATAATTATATTTCACATCTGTTAAAAGACCTTAAATAACTTGCTGCTTTGGGGACCTGCCTGTAACAGCCTAAGGTTCTCACATCAGGATTTTTGCCAGTTGGTCTTAAGTAGGGTCACTCTGCCTCACAGCTTTTCAGTTACCTACTTAATTACTTTGTTCTTGTTCGTGCTTTTGACAAAAATGGTGCTGTACAAAGCTCTGATCATCTTGTAAGGCTAAATTTTAAATCAGGTAGTATGGTTTAAGGAAGCAGAATCTCTCTTATTTTGACCATGTAACATATTAGCATATTTAAAAATACAAGTTATTAATTGCAGTTCAGAAGAGTTTGTCTTGGAAGCTTCATCATGTGGGTAGCCTAGTTTTTATTTATTTTGTTCCAGAAAATGTAACACACAAACTTTGGTTCATTAAAGGAAAACTTGATTAACTTGATAAACCAGATGAGTTTGTCTGCTAGGTGTCTGTAGTTCCAAGTAGGATGAAGCTTGAAAGAATGTTACATAATGAAACTTCAAAGTAACTAATATTTGTTGTGAATAGAATGCATCTGAATGCTTCTGTTGCCCAAAGTTTTCAAATTGCATCTGGTTTTGTTTCCTATGTTGACCCCAAATGCAATTTTGCTATTTTACGTATTTATTTCTCTCTTACCTTCCAAACATCGAAGTATTTTATTTTTCTGCCAACTTCACAAGACTTATTTCCATCCCTATGTCATGTAGTTTTGCAAAAATGTTACAAGGATGAGTTAAATAAATTGAAAAGGGCAAAACTACAGTTTTAGCTGTTCAGAGCTGCATAGTAACATTCAATAATTCTGTTCTTGTTGTTCATATCTCTGTTTTTCTTTTTTTTTTTTTTTTTTTTTTTTTTATTTTTGTTTTTGTTGTTTTTAGGGTTCTAAGTCTGGAATTAAATAAAGATAGAGATGTGGAAAGAATACATGAGAGCGGTATCAACACACTTGATATTGAGCCTGTTGAGGGAAGATAGTAAGTATATACTTTAGTTGGTAAAAACGTATATGAGTACTTCATTGTGTTTTGGTACTATGGATTTATTTTCTTGTTGAACACTCAGTTATACTGAGCATATTGAGATCCTGAATTTTGTAACTTTGTGCTTTATTAACACTTTTCAGCATGTTATCTGGTGAATCAGATGGTGTTATTGTACTTTATGACCTTGAAAACTTGACCAGAAAACCAAGTTACACCTGTAAAGCACTTTTCTCTGTGGGAAAGTAAGTATTCCAAAATTATATTAAAAGTTCATAGTATAGCTCTTGTGTGGCTAGGATTGAACTTGCAAACTAATGTGTGTTCTTATTTCTAGGATAGAAAGAATGTAGAAAATAGTACCAGAAATCTTTGAAGGCTAGTGTGATGACTTATGTTTTTTGAAATGCAAAAAAAAAAGCAAGAAACTTTGTGGGGATTTATGTGATTTACTAAGTAGCAGGAGCTAATTGTTTCTTCTTGATTTGTCTACTCTAATAGTTACAGTATATGTACAATGACTCTGTGGTATTGTTTGAGCAGATCTAGAGCAGTTCAAAAGTTAAAAGGGAGAACATAAATTATACGGGAACTAAAGTAAGAGTCTTATGTTGCTGTCGACCGCACAAAAAGAAGTCGGAGCTAGTACTCTAATCCCATTGTAACACTAGAAAAAGATAGGTGAGGAAAAAACCAACCAAACTCTCTTCTAGCTCACAGTTCCTTACCTCTGAGTTCTGTTATTGTTTCATGTTGAAATTTGGTGACTGTGCAAGTTTCGAGCTGGCTTGCCGCCAAGTCTCCAAAACTCAACAACAGAGCCTGCTTCCCAGAGAGGAAAGAAGAAAACCAAACAGCCAAAGCTATAGCAAAAGATATATATTTTTCGTATAAAACAGATATATACAGTGAGAACATTATATACATATAACCCCAGAAACCCCAAATAGCTTCCTAAAAGGGAAGAGGGAAGGGAGAAGGGAAAAAGGACAAACGAAAAGGGACAGAAACAAAACAGGTATGCACAATCTAAAAACTCGGTAACCAGCAAAATAAAGAACTGGCACAATCTCACCACTTCCCTTGAGAAAAGCAGGACAGCCAGACCGTGGCCCAGCACTCTCCCCTCCCGCAGCGGCAGACAACAGCAGTCACTGTAGGCCTCAACTTCAGATAAGCAAGACCACATAGGGATCTACTGTTCTTGAACTTCACCGGAAAAGAAGAGAGTGAGGTCCCTCTGGTCACCTTTATTTATACCTCAGCCTACGTAAAGGAATAGCATGGAATACTTCCTTGGGCACTCCCCTAGTTCCCTCCTGGTTACAAGCTGGTCTCCAGGAAGGCCTAGAGTGAAAACTATCACAGTGACTCTATGCCAGTAACTATGAGAAAAAGGTTTTGATACTGTTGTAGAAATATTCCTTTTATCCCCCAAATATATATAATATTTATATTTGAATAAATATGCTTTTAAGCAGAAGGAGAATTATCTGTATAACCCTGTTCATCTGATTGGAAAAAAGATCTAACACCTATTTGCAATTGTTGATTTTATTTCCTCTCTCCCTGGTTGCAGCTATTTTAAGTTCATCTGGTTGTTCACCAGGCACAGCAGTAATTTATATAGAACTTCTTAAGAGCATGTTCAAATGAAGACAGATGTGTTATTAAAAAAATGGGGCATATTTTTCTAAAGAACAGGGTACTGCCGTGCTGTGTGTAATCTTTATAAAGAGTCAAAGCCTTTATTGATTTGTCAGACTTTCTCTGCAGGCAGTATAAATTTTTCCATTATGGCCATAAAGTCTTTTAGCAAAATTTGGTTTTTCCCTGTATTTGGATTTTAGGATTATCTAGTAAGTTGGAACTTCGAGACAGTAAGATATATCCTACTGTGTTAAAGATTAGTAGCTATATTTCCCCCTTATTTTTTCCTAGTCTAGAAATTAATTGAAGTCTAAGAGCTTCATGAGCCAAATATACAAGAGCAGAACAGATTTGTTACAATAAAATTCCGTAATGGTATTTTGGACCATAAGAAGGAGAAAGGCTAATAGAACATGCATCAAAACAGATGAGTTGGGACAGAATCTACTGCAAGTCAGCTGCATGTGTTTGTGGCTGGGACTTCTTGCACAAAATTATTTTAAATTGTAATTAAGAACATGTAGTGACTATACATCCCCAACTCTCAAAACTGAAATGATTTCTGAAACAGATGCAGCAAACCGAAGAAATTCATTCTAAGAGGACACAACATAAAAGCTGTCACAGAATCATAGAATCATAGAATCAGCCGGGTTGGAAGGGACCTCCGAGATCATCAAGTCCAACCCTTGATCCGCTACCGCTGAGGTTACTAGACCATGGTGCTAAGTGCCACATCCAGTCTCTTTTTAAAAACCTCCAGGGACGGAGAATCCACTACTTCCCTGGGCAACCCATTCCAATGTCTGACCACCCTCTCTGTACAGAAATTCTTTCTAATATCTAACCTAAACCTCCCCTGGCACAACTTGAGACCATGCCCTCTTGTCTTGCTGATAGTTGCCTGGGAAAAGAGACAAACACCCACCTGGCTACAACCTCCTTTCAAGTAGTTGTAGAGAGTGATGAGGTCTCCCCTGAGCCTCCTCTTCTCCAGGCTGAACAGCCCCAGCTCCCTCAGCCTCTCCTCATAGGACTTGTGCTCCAGTCCCTTCACCAGCCTCGTTGCTCTCCTCTGGACCTGCTCCAGCACCTCAATATCCTTCCTGAACTGAGGGGCCCAGAACTGGACACAATACTCAAGGTGTGGCCTCACCAGCACTGAGTACAGGGCAAGAATCACTTCCTTGGACCTGCTGGCCACGCTGTTCCTGATAGAGGCCAGGATGCCATTGGCCTTCTTGGCCACCTGGGCACACTGCTGGCTCATGTTCAGCTTCCTGTCAATCCAAACTCCCACCTGGTTTCATGTAATCCATGCTGTCCTGTGATAAAAACTGGCATTTGAGAATAACCAAACAGTACCAGCTTCTAGATGATATATATGTAATGCTTATCTTTAAGGTAGTCTCTTTACTCAAAACCTGCCTAGGAGGAATGAATGGCAGTGATCATACTATACATAGAACTAATTCTGTGTTTGTGTTTGGTAGAAAAGTTTGGGATATTCTGAGTAATAGGTGAAAATACTGCATGTGGAATGAACTGCAAATAATGTACAGCCCTGACACATGAAACTGGCATGTAACCACTACTAAGCTTGGCCAGATCAAAGGTAATTCCTGCAGAGTTACTCAAGAGTTTTTTAGTTCATTCCTTAGCCCTGTGGATTATGGAAGAATTGATTGTTCAGCTAGAGTGTTGAACACAGTCCAGTGTTGTACACTTACCAGTTATTGTACCAGGATAATTAGTTCCATGGGTTTAGGTTTTTCTGCATGGTGCATACAAATGGCTCTCCAGGAGTAAGTTCACTCTGAATCAGGCTTGGTTTCCTGGCTCTGCAGGTACTGAAGATATTTAGCTTGACTCTGTCATGGTTCAACTCCAGCCAGCAACCAAGTAGCACTCAGCTTCTTGCTTACTTGCCTACCAAGTGGGATCAGGGGGAGAATCAGAAGGGTAAAAATTAGAAGACCCATGGGTTGAGATGAAGACAGGTTAATAGGAAAAGCAAAAGCTGCACATGCAAGCAAAGCAAAACAAGGAATTAAGTCATCACTTCCCATGGGCAGGCAGGTGTTCAGCCATTTCCAGGAGAACAAGGCCCCATTACATGTTACTCAGGAAGACAAATGCCAGAATTCCAACTGTATTCTCCCTTTCTTCCCCCCAGCTTTGTATACTGAGCATGATGCTATATGATCTGGAATATCCCTTTGGTCAGTCTGCATCACCTGTCCTGGCTGTATCCCTTTCCAACCTCCCATGCGTTCTCAGCCCCCTCACCAGCATGACAGTATGAAAAGCAGAAAAGGCCTTGGCTCTGTGTAAGTCCTGCTGTGCTGGTTTAAAGGTAAACTAGCAGGGGAATGAACTCAGCTCAAAAGAGAGATTATAAGTCAGAATAACAATTTAATAAAATAATACAATAAGTACAATTATACAGACAAGGAATCGGTTTTAACCCACAAAACCCAAATATATAACCCGGCACCCTGGGGCATGAACAGAGTGGTGTTCTTTGGGCCCCCTGAGTCCAAAGGAAAAGGAGAGGGGAAAAACCTGTTGGTGAGAGTGCTGTTGCAGCCTGGTCAAGAGTGGTGATTGCAGTCCGGTCGAGAGTGATGGTTACAGTCTGGTTGAGAGCGGTGATCTGCAGTCTTCCTCTGGATCCCATGAGTGGTTAAAAAGGTCCCAAGACTCCAAGATTAGATATCCTCCAGTTCAGGCAGGAATGCCCAGTACCTCCCTCAGGGCGAGGAGTTCCTCAATGGGCGTGAGGACAAGAGCACCCTCCTATCTCACAGGCCTCTTAACACCTAGTTTATAGCCTGAGGAGTCAGGCTCTATGTGCAGATGGTGTAAATGGTTCATTGATACCAGTTTCTGGGAAATGGCATGAAAGGCTATAGAATACACAGTTTTGGGTTACACCCATCCAGTGATGAACTGGTCTCAGCTGTCCTAGCTAGGACACCTGCTCAGTAGTAACAAAAACATCTCTATAATATCAGCACTGTGTTCAACACAAATCCAAAACATACCCCATACTAGACACTGTGAAGAAAATTACTTCTACCCCAGACAAAACCAGTATACTTCCCTGAAGAATAAATGCCCAAAATCTGGTGATTTATAGCACTCTGCCAGGACAGCAGGCCATTCTAGGATATGCCTCAAAAATAAACAATGCAGGAGTCGTGAAACTAACTCAACAGTTACTCAGTAGCTCTTGCTTAGTATTGTGAAGTCTGGCTTCAGGCTAACTCAGTTTTAAGATGTCTTTTGTGCTTTCTAGCAACCCAAGTGAGCAGGAAGGTGTATTAGTTGAGCTGAAATCAGGTCTATAAATACCATGTGAAAAGGGGATATTTCCTTGACCCTAGCGTTTGATTAGTCTGTCATTGTCCCAGGAAAATGGAGACCCTTGTGCCCAATCAATCTGTCAGTGTCCTGTTATGGGGACCCTTCACTGAACAGTGCTGCTGGATCGAAGGGCAGTTCAACTGACTTGTTAAAGGTCACACACCAAGGGCAGTGCCCACTTTATCCGAGTTATCCACAGCCAGCAACTGCCAGCGCCTGTGAAGGACTCACGAACAGTTTATGGGATAACACAATTAATATAAAATGATGACAGATTAAGATTCAAGGATTGCTGATGATTGTACCTGACTGCAAAATCATATTCAAAGCAATACACAGACAAGCTCTAAGCCCAATGAAAGTATTCAGTGCACATAGAGTACAGTTCTTACCCAGTAGGTGTCCCTCTGAGGGTGAAGACAGGTTCAGCCCGTTCACTGATTCCTGAAGCTACAACAGAGTCTTCCCTAACTTTTCCCCATTCTTGACCTACTCTTATACTATTTCTTTATGTTTAGATGGAGCTTGAGTGACATATCTTTGTTACTGAGTGGTGTAAAATTCTCTTAACTTTGCTCTTAAAGATACAGCTAATAAAATATAGAGTGCATGGTCAGTGAGGGGTGGTTGTATCTTGGAGACAGGCAAATTTGGGATGTAGATGTGCATTAGTATTATAATTAGATTACAATGAACCAAGTTCATCAAAGGAGAGCAATTTTGCCACAGTTGCTGACTCAGCAGGAGGACATCTGTCTCCCTTGGTTGACAGGTGCAATGCATTTTATCAGCTAGAAAGTACCATCGAGTTCCCCTCCCTTCAAGGATTTCAACAGACCCTGTTCACAATGTCTTCACTCTGCTCCACTCTCTGTTTCAACCCTCTTAGCAGGTGCTTAAGGTTGTAGATTTCATTTATGGGAATCATCCTGGAATAAGTTTTGGGCCTGCTTGCCTCATTCCATACTACGCAGCAACTGCATTTCACCCTAGAATTCATGTATCATTATAACTTCTGTTAGGATGTGAATATAACATTCCTCTAATTTTATCCCAGCCATCTTTTCACAATACCAAAAATCTACATATCTGTTTACACAATGATACCCCTGCAATAGTTACTGCTTTGGAGGCCAGGACACTTGAGAGAAAAGTGCAAAGATAAGAGCAGAAGTGAGGAAATCTTGTGAGCCCTTCACTAGCTGCAGCTGGAGCTGGCTGAACTATTTTCTCATATTATACTGCGTTTAGCTGGGATGGAGTTAATTTTCTTTATTGTAGTTTGTATGGTACTATATTTCAGACTTGTGGCCAGTCTTGATAACATACTGATGTTCAGCTAGTGCTGAACAGTGCTTGGTAGTGTCAAGGCATTCAACATTCTTCATTCTACTCCTCCAGTGAAAAGCCTGGGGGTGGACAGTAGGCTGTGAGGAAACACAGCTGAGACACCTGACCCAACTTGACCAGAGAGATATTGATATTCCATACTGTACTATGTCATGTGCAGTAATAAAACTGGGGGGGGGAGGGGGAAAGAGGGGGCCCTGGGTTGCCATTGCTCAGGATTTGAAGGGTCATTAGTCAGCCTACGATGAAGGATTGTTCTTGCATCACTTGTTTGTTTGGGGTTTTTTTGGGGTCTTTTGGTTTTTTGGGTTTTTTGGGGGGATGGAGTTTGTTTTCCTTTTATGTATTAAAATGTGTTTATTTCAATCCACAACTTTTCTCACCTTCACTATTTGGATGCTTTCCTTCATCTCACTGCAGAGGGGTAGAGTGAGCAAATAGCTGTGGTGGTGTGTAGGTGCCTAGGGTTAACCCACAGCAACATGGTAATTCTGGGTCTGGGAGCATGATTTCGGGCCCTGAAGCTGGATCCATGTGAATACAGCTCAGATATTAGTGGTCTACCAGGTGTAGAAATAACATATATTATTCAGAGCCTGGTCAGTTCAGTCTGTATCCTGGAGCTGTCAAGATTTGCTCTACTGTCCATTCTTCCTACCAAGTTTAATGTATTATTAATTATATTGCATTCTGTAACTATCCATAGTTTAGCTGAAAGTTTCCTATTGTTCTTCCTCTGTCACTTCTAAATGCAAGTATAAATGACTCTCAGTAACTTAGTCTACTGCTTTCTGGTGACTTCAGCATACATGAATTGCCAAGAACTATGTAGCTGTAATTATTCACTAATCATAATGAAATTTTTGAACTGTATTTGTGGTGGTATTTTTTAGTAGATCTATTTCTCGGATCCATTTCTCCGGGGGCTTCCAGAAGTATAAATGATTTGTAGTGTTAGGCTGTCATGTCTAAGATTAGAACTGTAAACATTGCAATTTAAAACATTTCAAAAGACATTAGTGTCTTTTGTGCTTCAAACTGAGTGTCTTGACTGGAGATATGCTACAGGTACCATATTTTGAAAAGATAATGATCTGTAGTTTCTTGAAATCAGGACTCTTCAAAGAAATTAATATTAGTTGATTGAAAATCAAGCCAAAAAAACCCTAGTTCTTCTTGAAAACTTCAGGACAAATTAAAAAACCCCCATATTTAAACGGTGTTTTCTATTTTTAATTGAATACCAAGACAATTACAAGATGCTTATTAAGACTAACCAATTGGAATATTTTCTTTGATTTTAGGAGCCATCCTGATGTACATAAATTCAGTGTGGAGACAGTCCAGTGGTATCCTCGTGACACTGGCATGTTTACATCCAGCTCATTTGATAAAACCTTAAAAATATGGGATACAAACACTTTACAAGTAAGAGAGTTTCTGCAGCTTGCAGGCTTCTTTGTGTATATGTTATTCATTCCACATCTGCAGTTTTCCCAGAGGTGAACAGGAGCAGGCATCCAGAAGGATGAAAACCAGCCTATTGTTAGAACTGTGGGTGCAGCAGAAGGGTGATATGATTCCGGCATTCATGTATACCCTGGTGTGTGCCTCTCCCTGTCTGAAGATCTGAATGTCTAAACTGTAAGAGAGCTTGGAACCCGTGGGACAGTCCTCTCTGCTTTTGTTGTGATCAGGAATACAGCTAGTTGATGTTTTGCTGTGTAAACTTGCCCACCAAGGTGTAGTCTGAAGTTCATTCTTGAGGATTGTTAGTTAAGTGTAATGGAACGTACAGCAGGGTGAGTTATTTTTAGCAACCGGCACCTAAATACTGGTTTTGAAGGACTGGTGGTTTTGGCATTCAGGATCATAAGGTCCAGAATTCTGCTGTTGTAAGCAGTATAGACAGCATTTCTAAAAATTGTTGGAGAATGAGAGAAGCCATTAAGAAAATGCTAACCAATGTAACTGGCATTATTAAAGTAAACTGATTATGTAGGAATTCATGTTGCTTTGCCTCATATCTCTTGTTGAACCATGGATTCATGACTGCAGTTTGTCCTGTTTCCTGTGTGAATGTATTAATGAATTTACACTGATACTGTTTGACTGTTGTTTCACACATAATGAAAGAATTTAAAAAAAATTAGAGGTTTGTCATCCTAGGGACACCACAGAAAACAAATTTTTACCTTTTTGGGTTTTTTGTTTGTTCGTTTGGGGTTTTTTTTGTGAGATGTGAAGCTACATTAGCAGTTACTTAATCTTCTTATGAACAGTTCGCTTTCCAGATAGTTCTGTGAGCATCCCTTAAAAACAGTGTTCACATGAAGGTTATTGAATGACCTGTTTTGCCACCAAATGATATTTTTGAAAATACAGACAAGTTTTAAGAGATTTTTCATATATCGTATTTTAGAATGAGACAACAAAAGCAGTTTACCTGAAAGCAATTGTAATTATTAAAGTAAACATTGAAGTTTATTGAAGTAAATATTATATTTCATTTTTTTAAACACTTACAAGGTAGCTAATAATTTTATATGATAAGGGTGTAAATTTTGTAGGAATTGAAGCTACATTATAACCTTCTTGTTTGCTTGCTAACTTTGTTAATTTTTGATAATTGTAATGTTTTCCATTCGTGCTTCTTATTAGCCAATTTTCTTGGTCTTTCTTTTTGGTCATCTCTGAGCTCTAGTGTTGTCCTAGTTTTGCAAACAGACTTGCTGTGCGGTGCTTGCATGATCTGGTTTCCAGCTTGGAGAATTATTATTACTATGTAAATAGTAGTATTTTTATTAGTCTTATTTGTAGTTTATTTGTACTTGAAAAATGATGAGCATTTACATTCTGATAACATACTTGCACTGTCATTAGTTTAATCTTTTTATTATCAGCCTGCAGATATATTCTACTTTGAGGGAACAGTCTATAGCCATCACATGTCTCCAGTTGCTACACAGCATTGTTTAATAGCAGGTATGTATTTGTTTGTAAGAAGTGTCTTACATATTTTGGGTTTATAGTAACAAGCAAGTAATATTCAGTAGGGTTTTTTTACCTACCCTATCTTATTTTTACATAAATTAAGTCTTCATAAGACGTAAGTTCATTGGTTAAATAAAATAGTATCCATTCGTTGGATGATGTCAATGAGAATATCATATTTGTTCTTCTGAAATAATGCATGAGTCAATTCTCCTACCTGATAAAAACTCTTAGTTATAATTAGATTACCTTTCATTACCTAAGCTAGCATTTGAGGTTTATTAGGTCGAAACATAGTAAACTGTGTAAATAGATGTATATTGCTTACATGTATGCATGTAAGCTATGTTTAGCAACAAAATATTTGAGGAGATATTTTTAAGTTTCCTAAATATTGCCCTGTTTACCTCCAGTTTCTAAATTTTTTTTGTTACATGGTAAATTTACTTGGACTAAAAATGTAAATCTATTAATAGAATGCATTGACTCTGACTGAATGAACTGTTATGCAGTTAGCATTTTTCTTCTATTTGCCATTGCTAAGTTTTTTGTTGTTGTTATTCTCTCAAATGCTGGGGTTTTTTTAACTGTCTTTGTTTCTCTTGTTACAGTTGGTACCAAAAGCCCCAAAGTACAGCTCTGTGACTTGAAGTCTGGATCCAGTTCTCACATACTACAGGGTACTTCTTAGTCTGAAACATAAATGTTAAACAATAACTACTTTGAGTAAAACAAGTCCTGTAAAGAAACACTATATACAATGTATTCTTTGTCAGTAACATGACTCATTTATTTATAACCAGTTGTGAAAGTTACACAGTGGCAAAAGGTTCTTCTGGGTGTTTTCTAGTGCTAATAAATTGGAGAATACAAATATTAATCAATGAGCAGTTACTACAGATGTTTGGGCGTTTTCATGATCTAATCAGTAGTGATTATTAATTATTACATGTTTTAAGTGTATTCATTGATTTGAGGGTTTATGGGGGGCTGTTTACAAGAAACTCAAAGAACAACTAAAACAACCAAAACTTGTCATAAAAAAAAGAAACCCCACACCTAAACACACACACACAAAACCCCCAACAACTATTTTAAAAAAATATATCCTATGGAGGCATTTGAATGACTTTATTTAGAAGTTTCTGGTTTCTCTAGAATAGGCAAGATACTGCTTTCTGTAGAAGGGTGATATCTAATCCTTTGCGTATTCCTAATTCAGTTAAATATAGAGGTTTATTGTTCCATAATCCTTTACTTTTGGCACTTAAGAAGAATGTGCCTTTGGTGTCTCTTCTCTAATGTGTACTTTTTGGAGTATGAGTATGTATACATGTGCTCAAGTGAAGGCAATTACGAGGTAAATCTTCATGCTTCTAACCAGCGGGGTAAGATCTGATCTAGAAGCTGATCTAGAAGCTGTAGAGAAACATTAGGTCAGACACAGCAATGTGCAAATGCACCTTTATTTCTTCACTGGCCAGCTCAAGTCTAAAATCAGCCTAGGTGGTTTCATGTGATGTAGAGCTTAAGCCATTAAGCCCTTATGAACTGAATTGGCCACAGTAGGCTTCTCATGTTCTGTTTCTAGAACCAAGAGCACCAGAGAGTGCAACGACAAAAACAGTTCTCTAGACATTCAGTTGGGTTTCATCAGGGCTTCATAATTTAACACAAGAGTTAGTGCTTTCCAGGCACAAGCTCTGCGTCATTGTACACAGCCTGGTACACTTAGCTCAAGTGCAATATTGGACAAATAAGTGGAGGGAGAATATGTCCTCCTATTAGCATAACCTAATAATTCTTTACAGAACTTGAAGCAGTCAGTAGTTTCTTGAAGATAAGTATGAATTTTCACGTAGACTAACTCTAGCAGCTGAAATGGAGCAAAATGCATGGCTGTAGTGTAATAATGGATCCAAGTAAATGTGTCTGCCTTGAACCTTCCAAGTGTACCCTGTAGTACCTGTATCATGAAGATTTTTTCTATGATCCTGGTCATCATAGCCCTTTGATTAATTTAGGTAATGGAAATCCACCTACTAGAAGATGTAGGAGGGGCAAGGTGGTTCACATAGCTCTAAACTGCACTAGCAGAAATGTATTTGTATGATTTAGTTTATTTTTCAACAATGTGTTTCTATTACTACATGAAGCCTGATTGCAGTCTCTCCATTTAGGACAATTTACACCTCCTGTTGTCTGTATTTATTTAACATTTTTAAAACTTTCCAAATTTTGAAGTGTATGTGTATGTGAATATATATATATGTGTGTATATATATATGGGAAAGAACCTTCCAGATCATTGAGTCCAACCGTTAACTCAGCACTGCCAAGTCCCTCCCTAGATTATTTTTGTAGGTACCACATCTACACATCTTTTACACATCCCTGGGTTAATGACTCAACCACTGTCTTGGGAAACCTGTTTCTGCTGTAATTTTATTATCCAATCTAAACCTCCAGTAGTGCAACATAGGGCCACTTTCTCTCATCCTGTTGCATGTTACTTGGGAGACTGACCCCTACCTGACTACAACCTCCTTTCAGGCAGTTGTAGGGAGCAATAATATATCCCCATAGCCTACTTTTCTCCAGGATAAACATCCCCAGCTCCCTCAGCTGCTCCTCATAAGACCTGTGCTCCAGACCCTTCCCCAGCTTCATGGGTATCTTAATACTTCAGACCATAAATTCAAGAGAAGAGTATTTGAGGATGAGTAAAGTTTTAAATGTAAGTACATAGGGTAAATATAGCTTTTATTGAACATTTTTAAAGGATTTGAAGAAAAAGAAATGTAAAGTTCCTTCTGTGTGTTATAACACCAGTGCTGTACAAAAGTTAATAGAAGTAAGCTCAGTGGCTGTAACTGTAAAACCATCTTTATTATCAAAAGTTATACACGTGTAATACTCCATCACTTTCAGCTCACTGCATTCTTCTTCAAGCAAGAAGAGCAAAGAGAAGTAATTTCTATCACAAAATTATATAGTTTCACAAAATTCAAATTTATGTTACTTCAGATTATTGTTCTGACTTGATGTGTCCTGTAGAACTAAATATTTGCTTTTACTTTTACTTATTTACATAAAATGATATGTAAAACCTTTTTCATATAATTTTTAGGTCACAGGCAAGAAGTATTGGCAGTGTCTTGGTCCCCACGTCACGAATATGTTTTGGCAACAGGAAGGTAGGGATGTTGCTGAACTCTTGAAAGCACTGAAATGTTTGTCAGTAAAATTTTATATGTTTATGAACATTTTTTAGAATTCTAATGCACTTTTGGAGTTAATCTTCATCACTGACTTTTACCTATGTAGCTCTTCCATAGAAAAACAAAACCTGAAGAGCTGTACAAGTGATGCTTATTTTATAGGAAGTTTGTACAGAATTTTGAAACACTAATTGTATTTACAGGTACAGGAAAATGATAGAACATTATTGAGATACTTACTTCTTACTATTTAGTAGTGCGTGTGTTGCTAATCTGTTTTATAACGAAGTAAAACATGTTTAGCTTAAATGAAAATCCTGGTTAATCATACTCAATCATGTCAAAGAGCATAGCTCAGGTAGCTTAGCTGATGGGTAGTAACTTTCCAAGCTGCAGTAATTCATTGAATATGGATTGTATGTTGATACTCCTGGACCTTTTTTATTTTCCTTTTTTATTTTCTGTCCATTAAAAATTTTATTTTTAATGTGAAAAATCCTCTGACCTTCCTATAGCTTTTGTGTGTGTTATCTTTTGATTATAATGTGACATTTCTCATTTTTTTAGTTGCCATGTTTTTTTCTTTTGAATTGCAGAGAGAAATGGCTGTTTTATAAGTTTAGAGTGAAATTTGGATAAGTCGATACCGTTGTTGCAAACCTTTTGTTTCTAAAGCCAGGCTTCTGCAAGGCTCAACAAAGTTGGAAAATGTTTTAACAGAGTGTGATAGCATGGTGGCTTTGGGGTTTTTGATTGGTTGGTTGTTTTGTTTTAGCAGATGAAAAATTGTTTGCTTCTGTACCAGTCACATGATAGATCTATGATAACAGGAGCCCCGAGTTGTCAGACAACCATTACAAATAATGCTGGAGTCTGTAGCTTCAGTTTAATCAACAGAAGAATTAGCAAGTTTATTCCTCATCTGTGTATGTGTGCAAGGGTGTTATGTTGTAGACAAAGAGGCAAATGTATTGTATTACAGATGAAGATTCATTCTTAGGTGCTGATAGTGTAACTGTTATACTTATTCATACATGTAAATGAATGTCTGAAATCTGTCTTAAAAAATTTTAATGAAATTCTGTTGACTTGAATATGCCCACATGATGAGTGGTTCAGAATAGTTGCTGGGCCAGGTGGGTTGACGGAGGACAGTTATTGAAGAAGGGTGCACTTAATTAACATTATGTTTGCAAATCTATTTTTCTTAGTGCTGATGGTAGAGTAAAACTGTGGGATGTGAGGAGAGCTTCTGGGTGTCTGAGTACACTTGATCAGCACAATGGGGAAAAGTCCAAGGCGTCTTCTGAGGCAGGTAATACAGAATATAACTAGTGGCAATGCATATGTAACTAGAATCGTTCTTATATTTCATAAATATATTGAATACTAAGACTAGCAAAGCGAGTAGTGGTAATCCATTTGTTACCTACTACATAACACAGGCCCTTCAGTTATTTCTGTTGTAGAGGCAGTGTTTGTGGTAGGGATCTTTTTTGGAGGGATCTCCTTGACAGTAGTGGTATATCTGTTCTAAATGGTTTCCCCCCTAAAATGGGAAATTTTGTTATCTGTATTGTCGGTGAAAGAATTCATTCATGCTGTAGATTAGGTTTTATATAAACAACAATCACTTCATACTTCATAAGCTGTTACGGTAGTTATCTTCTTTTGAAAACAAAGACAAGACAAACAAACCCACAAAAGTGCATTCCTTTTCCTGTTTAAATTAGTCTTGCTTCCTATATAAAGCCTTTAGAATATTTTCTCATATGTGGTGTCATAAAATCAGTTCTATTCCTTTTATACCCAAAGCCTACAACAGAGTGTAAAGTTATGATTGTATTTCATTTTACAGGAGGTTGAATTAAATCTTAGTACAATCAAATGCATAATGATGCCTCGTATTAGCTGTAATTGACTACAGCATTAACATTTTTATGTATTTTTAAGTGACATTTCTGAAACTGAAAAAAACCCCCAAACCTCATGAATTGTGGCCAGTTCTGGACAAAATAAATTTCATTTTGACAGTCCAAAATAGTACTTAAACAGTTGCTATTCTGAGATAGAAATACATAGTATTTGGAATTGAACACAATGGAGAAACTCTGTATTATACCTCTGGACAAAGGGATTTTTGTAGCATAAATCAGTGATTAAACCTACCGCTCAGTCTGACTTGTTGTGTGCAATTTAAATTGCATGTAGAAAAATTCATGAAAATGTCTGTAAAGTCAAACTGATTTTCCAAAATGTGTGGTCAGAGGATATGAAGTAGCAGAGAGTATCTGTTTTAATAGCCACTCTCTCCATTATGTCATTTGTAGCATGGTAATATAGATGTTTGGTTTTGACTATTTTAAATTTCATTGAAATTCAAGAAATTACTGAGATGAAAATGGTCTAAAGAAAGCTAAGACTTTGTCAAAAAAGGACAAATTTTGCTTAACAAAAACCAAAATTCTTTGTAACTCCAAAGATAATTAGTGCCATTTTATACATTCCTTTGAATAATGTGTTGACTTTTCAAACACAACATCTTTCTTTTCAACTTTATTTCTGTCTGACAGGTTCAAGATGATTTTTTGGCAATCTAATATTAATCACATAGACTAGGATGTCTGATTTATTAAAATATATATGAACTAAACCAAATGAAGCTAATAGGATTTTTAAAAAAAATATTAAAGCTGATAACACTTTTACCTAAAAGGTATGTCTAAATTAGGTAGTGTAGTACAATGTAGAGATACTTTGTCTGTTTTTCAGTGAGTTAGTTCACGGATGCCATATTTAGATTTGCTGTGGTAGCACAGAGTTGGATTTTAGCATACTTCATGTGCAGTACTGCAGGGTAAACTCAATGAAATTAATTTCTAGTACTCCATGAACAATATAGAATAGGATATTCAGTTGGAAAGGACCTACGATGATCATCAGCTGCCTGACCACTTTAGGGCTGACCAAAAGCTACAGCATGTTGTTAAGGGCATTGTCCAAATGCTTCTTAAACAGTGACAGGTTGAGAGCATCAACCACTCGATGACAGATTGAACAGAACTGGCCCTTGAATTGCACCCTGAGGAACACTACTGGTGGCTGTTGGCCAGCCAGATGTTTTTATAAACCAGAAGTTAACTTATTAATTTACTGAATGTTACCATTTAAACAGCACTTCCAGTGCTCTGCGTTGAACTAAAAATGTATACAAAGCAGTAATTCTTCTCTAGAAACCTGAACCAGCTCTTTTTCCTGACAGCAAATACTGCTCACAATGGGAGAGTTAATGGTTTATGCTATACCAGTGATGGACTTCATCTGTTAACCATTGGTACAGATGATCGGATGAGACTCTGGAACAGCTCCACTGGAGAAAACACATTAGTAAGTTTTCAAGGAACTTCAGTTATGTTTTTACTTGTGTCATAGGTTTACTTGTTCTAAAAAAACCAAGCTGGAATTTTTTGCTGAATTATACTGCCACTGTATGCCATAAATGCCATGGACAATGAATATGGGTTACTCCAGATACCCCAGTCGTGAGCTTCTAATGCAGCTTGCCACCAGTTGACAGCACACCAGCCTTCCTGCCCTGGAAGACCTCTAGGATGGATGGAACTCATAGTCGTGGTCTAAATGAACTCAACAGACATCTTGGAAGGATGGCCATTGACTACAGAAATGATACCTGTGGTTGTGTGTATTTATATAAAAATGTATATGTATATAGTGGGAAGGTATAGCATCTGGGCATATATAGAATCATAGGTGGTATAGAATAAGGGGTGGATAAAGTCCTGGCTTCAGCACAGATCATCAGGAGGAGGCGTGGCCAACACCCCAATGTTATTCAGTACCACCCCACATAACTGACAGAGGCAGGGGAAGGGGGCTTACTCTCTCTCTTCTGAGAAGGGTGTTCCTTCTGGGGGAGAGACTGGTGGGTGAAACGGTCCAGTATTGTTTTATTTTATGTGTAAATTGTTTCCTTGTCCTATACCTTGTGTTATTAATATTGTTGCTGTTAGAGTTTGTTTTCTTATTGCTGTTTCCAGTAAATTGTTCTTATCTCAACCCGTGATCTCTGCCCTTTGTGCTTTCAATTGGAGGCAGGTGAGGGGGAGTGAGCTGTGGCATGGTTTTAGCAGGACTGCTAAATTGGAGAATACCATTCCTAAACCACGATAGGTGGTAGTTCCTCAACCATGTCTAATTTCAGTGAGAGTTTAGGTGTTTGATGTAGATCTGGCATGGAACAGCCTGTGCAAATTCTATTTCTTAGAGTGGAACTGCTGATTTTTAGACATAACTTTCTTTCCTTTTCTTAAAGTTGATATTAAGAAAAGTGATCTTGAATGAACACAAAAATGATTCTCTTGATAGACATCTGTAATGTGAAATATCAGGAGTTATACAAACATAACTCAAAATTAATTTTATTGAGTATTAAGGATGAAATAAAATTGATGTTTTAATATAATTTCCTGTGGTTTTTACTTAATAGCTAACTGTATAATCCTTCATTTTACAGGTGAACTATGGGAAAGTCTGTAATGAAAGTTGGAAAGGACTCAAATTTGCCATCTCTTGTGGCTGTAATCCAGAGTTTGCCTTTGTACCATATGGAAGCACCATTGCTGTTTATACAATTTTCACAGGAGAACTGATAACTGTGCTTAGAGGGCATTATAGTACTGTCAACTGCTGTGTATTTCAACCTCATTTTCAGGTAAGTAAAATAAGACCAGTATTCCGGACAAACTGCAATATTTATGCAGACTGCTGTACAATTTGCACTATAAAAGCATTAACTTTTCAGGAATATGCTTTAATCAAAGATCGTGACATAAGAGAGAGTTCTGTGGCTTGCATGTCATGCAAGAAAAGTTTGGTGAAATTCTTGGGATGGCCTTTTCTGGTTTAGCTTCCTTCCACTATTCAGTTTATCTCACATATGTAACTTCTCAATATACTTCTAGTAATTTTTTGGCATACATACTCACTAATAAATATGCATAAAGGCTTTTGCCTGTTTTCTGTAAGACTGAAGAGGAGGTATTTGTCTTTCTCAGAGATACCTAAGACTAATCACAGTAAGAAAGAATGTGAAGTGCATTAGTATTGCTGTCAGTACTGAGAAGGCTCTAAAGTTCTTGCTCAAATGCCTGTAGTTATACTTTGGATGAAGTGTTGAGAACACGATGATATTCTTAAATTAATCTGAGAACATTTCACCTGAGAAATACCTTAGCATTACAGGAACTCATAGTGCATGGCAGCCTTCTTTCTTTTTCTTTTCTTTTCCACCTATGGTATATTTTTCTCTTGCAGCAAAAGACTTAAGGATAAAAAAGCTTAATTTGTTGTGACATACTTTAGAACAGATTGTTCGTATGGTGTGTGTTTGGCAAGAGCAGAGTGGATGTTAGTATGGATTTTCAGGCCATTACATAGTTGCCCTCACATGTTAAGGATTGTACTTCACGTTCTACCTCCTCCTTCCTTGCCTTTTGTTTCTGAATATCAGGCAGAAATATCTGAGGGAGAAAGGGCATGCAGATACCTTTTCGTGACCTCTCATACAATGCACCATAGAAGTGAATCTGGTAGCTTCTGCTTTGAGTGAAATAACTTTGACTGAACGTTGCTGTATCACTGAGACAGACTTCACTGAAAGTTATGAATACGCAACAGATTGCAAGTTAATAAGCCTTATTAGGCCTGGAAGGCAGTTCTGGTATGAATAGGCAGTGCAATTCTACATCCACTGAAAGCTGGAATATTCACATTGTAGCTAAAGTAGATTTTTTCCAGACTGTTCTTGAAAAGCCCTTTGTGTTTCCAAGAATAGGTTCCCAACAGAAGTTCTAGTACGTTTATATAAAGTCATCTTTGGTATTCTTTTTGATAAACTGAAGAACTAAGGCTAATTAAATCTCACTGTGAAACATTTTTTACTTGTTTTACATGTGGTGTCTCTACCTTGGCTTCTAAGATCCATAGTAAAGGATCACTCGTGTGTGTGTGTGTATGCACACAAAAAATTCATCTGTCACTATATCTGTAGGTTTATGGATGTCAACAACTTCATTTATTTATCTGTTGTGATTCCTAATTTTCTTTCAGAATTACCCTTTTCCAGAGTTCAGTTCTACGTTCTAGAAGTGTGACTGGATTTTATTTTTCTGTAAATGCTCTGCTTTCAGTTGTATTAAATAGTTACTCTGATGAAGTAACATTGGTATAAGTCAGTGTATCAACACCAAAGGTAGTGGTACTGTTATTTTGACTGTGTTCACACATGTACTTCCAAATAGCTCATTCTGTCTTGAGACGATTAAGTACATTCATCTGTCTTCATATAATTCCAACAGAAATTATGATTTTGCAGGTTAAATTATTTTTCTGAGGTACCTATATTTTAGGCACTTTTTTTATTTTACTCTCTCAAGCAATATTAAATCAGCATGCTGCGAAGTTATTCACAGCTGTACATTTCTAGTTTGTTACTAGTTTTGCTTGACAAAACCTGCTTTGTTATAAACTGTATTGGCTGGTGTTTATATTCCTGTATTTTAACTCTACAGTAACTGCATCATTTAATCACCTTTTCGGTTGTCTTGTTTAGGACTAAAGAAATGTCAATTCATTTGTATCTGTATCATTCTGCTTTTTTTTGTTTGTTTTGTTTTTTCCTGACTGGCATATTAGGTCACTTTCACCTTTGTAATTTGTAAATACATGTCAAAACATAATTAACTTAAGCAAGCCATAAATTTTCATTGATGATTCTTCTAAGCCTCTGGTGTAAGATATGCATTTGCTGCTGAAAAGTGTAGCAGATGGTTTTCTAATGTTTTTGTTACTTATTAGCATGTTTGACATAAGTGCACTATCTTCATATGAAGGAAATTCTACATTTTTATGCATAGTTTTGACCATTTCCATCTAGTATTGAGTCTCTGTCACTGTTCAGTGTTCTTCGTTTAAACAGTCTTCTAAACTTTTTCTGCTGTCTGACTGATTTTTGTCCTACCCATCATCAAATCTGGTGCTTAGATTTTCCTTACATTTTTTACTGTGTTGAAAATTTCTTATTGATGTTGGTTGCTGCCAGTCCCTCATGTTTTTTCTGTTCATAAACTGTATTTTAATTGCTATCTTTGTTTCACCTCATAACCAGAATAAGCTCTAAGAAGAACTTAAACTTTGCACCAATTATGTATTTGAGGTGAGAAGTGTCTTCCGTTTACTCAGAACCATATAATCAAATATGATCACTGATACCCAAGCAGCTAGCTATTTGCAGTCTAATGATACTAGTCTTTATCTGTTCTTATCCAAATTAATTAGCATGTTTATGTAATACTTTTTATGTTTGAGATATGGTATGGAGCTCTTTCCACAGAATGCTGTGAGTTTAGCCTTTTCTGATCTTGGGAACAGAACCATAAAATCCAGTTAATATTGTTTGCCTAAACTATTCTTACGTAAATATCTCTGTGAAGTTAATAAGATGTTAGTCTGCTTGAGTAATAAGAACTGCAGAATTTGGCCCTCTAATAAGAGGCATTAATTTAATAGGAGGACAGTAATTTCAAGGGTGGTGTGAAAGAGAATCTTCATTGTGCAATATCTTAGATGATGTTTGCTGTTGAATGTAATATGCTAGATACTATTGTGCCGTATTATGTGCTTAGAATAATTTAAGTAAACAAACAAGACCTACATTTCCCTTGCAGAAAAAGAAATCGAGTAAAGGATCATGCAGGAATAACATGTCGTAAAATATTAGGTATGCAACAGGAAGTAATTTTGCTTTAAATTATAGCTTCTCATAGTGTTTAAGAAGCACTAGTGACATCTGCAAAGGTATTCGGTAAATCCAGTAGTAAGCTATTAAGTAAAGTTAACTGAAAGTTAAATTAGGTTTTATTTACAGTCTTTCTATATAATATACTGTAAACATGCATGGAGCATGTTTGTAGTGCAATATATGTGACTCTCCTGTATTGTACCATAATCCTACATGGAAGTGACTAGCTTTTCTTTTGATTGACTTGAGGTGTGAGTCACCATTTCAGGTTGTAATATTTAATTGTAAGTATTGCTCAATGCAGTGGATATTAACGGAATATCTTGCCATAACAGGATCAGAAAATGAGCCAAGGGGTAAAAAGGATTAAATAGAAGTATGCTGATGTCACTATGACATTGCTCACAGGGATATATTTTGGCATGGAAAGATCTTTTAGAGTTCTAGTGATATTCTTTATTCTATCAAAGACAGAAGGCCTGACTAGTGTACTGCTGATAAAATTTTTGTCCTATAGTAGAATTTGACCTATACCTTGGTGTAACATATTTTCTTTTAAGCAAGTTAAGCAGCATGGTTCATTGTCTTAAAACTGTAAACTCTAATCTTGCATGTGTTTTATGATAAAGAATTTTATGCATAGGACTAGTTTTAGAAAAGAGGGTATGTCAGTTCTATTGAGTGAGATTACCCGCATAAATGAGTATTTATAGGAATTGAGCATTAAGTTTTTGCACCAAATGTCATCATAATTCATGCAGTTTTAGAATTAACTATACATAATGTAGGAGACTTCTGCAAAGATAGACCTCTTATAATATTTTGAACTTATGTTGAATCAATGTATTAATAATGAGCCCACATGCAGAGAGTTGCTAGTTTAAGTGTAAAAGCCAGCAACTTGAACCAAGAGTTTCATACTGTTAGCCTAAATACCAAAGAAAATACTTTATGTGCTTCACTCAGACAGTTTAGATGCACGGTGGTACTCAAATGTTTTCAGACATTGCCTATACTATGCGAGAGGATGATTCAAGATTGAAGGCATATGAAAATATCTTTATGTCTGTTCATTTAAGTAGCACGTTGGAAAATACAAGTGTTATTAGAGCAAAATTTATGGCAAAGATGGTGCAGTATCTCTTATTAGCAAAATTTCCTCAGGTTAAAGTGATAGTCTGTGTTTCCTTAATACAGAACTAAGAAAACTAAGATATATTTGACTTTCACCTGTTTGGTGTAGGGACTGTTTGCTTCCATGTGTTTGTAGGGTGCCTTGTACAATGGAATCTCAGGCTTTAGTCATCACTATAATAAATAGAGTTATTTATATTAAAAATAATAAATTGATCTTTCTTATCTGTGCCTTTCCAACAGGATACAGGCTTCAAATTCTACTTTATTTGCTTTTTCCTTTCCTAGGCATACTGAAACTACATTTATTTAATACTTCTTTGTTCTGTACATATGCACTTTTCTAACGTGTATTGCTAGATTCTTTTGAGTTTGTTCCTCTTTTTTAATTATAAAAATATATTTTCCTTTTTTGCCTTTTTTTTTTTTTTACTTCTCCATAAATAATCTTTGAAGTTTACTAACTGTTAAAATAGGTGTATTTTCAGGAGATGTGAGAGAAGGAAGAAGAAAAATGTATTTAAAAGCAATAAAGCTCATTTAAATGTGGATTGTGCTACTTTGGTGAGCAGTCAGGGAAAGAAAAGAAAAATGTATTAATTTTGTTTTGGCATATTATTTAAAATACTGTTTATCAAAACTATAGTATAAATTAAAAATTGACTTGAATTTATATTTAAATAAATTTTCTATATCTTTTTTCTCCCCAGTGTTGTACTTATATCACTATTCTGTAAATTTGTATAAAAGTAATTTTTGCTTGTTTTTTTAAAGGAACTTTATAGTGGTAGCAAAGACTCCAATATCCTTGCATGGATACCAGCTCCACGAGAGCCAGTTCTTGATGATATTTCTGAAAAGGTAATGAATTTTGGAATTTGAACTATAGTTTTTTATGGCTTGTTGTGTGGAATTTAAATATGAGGTATGTGATTCACCATCAAAATTTGTAACAATTCCTAATTAAAAGCAGAATCACCTATTGTTTCTGTGCAATCTTTTAATTATTATACAGTTTTGAGAGAACATTTTCTTTCATAGTCTAGTAAAGTCTTTTGCAGACTTCTAGCTTCCTGCTTAGTTAAAAGTAGTTAATTTGGCTATGGGTCTTTCAACTTCTGCTTTAGCTTCCTTTATTTCCAAACTATTTTCTGTAGTTTGTGCTATTTTGGAATTGTAAAGGTGCCAACAATTGTATTTTAAATTGTTTAAGAATATATTGTGCATTAAGCATATTAGGGATGTCACACTTCATACCTAAATATTTTTGATGCAGAAATATAATAAAGTACATTCTGAGTGAGGTTATCTTCATGTCTGAGGCAAGATATCCAGGTCTGTTGCAGGAAGATCATGTATAACACTGTTTTCCAAGAGAGTACTTTCTCTCTCTCAGTATTAAAACTGGGCAATAAAAATTTCAGTGAGCAGTCTGAGCAGAAAAAATTCTAGATTTTAAGAAACTGAAACCATTCACAGAATCAGAGTCTACGAATGTTGAAAAATGAGGATATATTAATGTTTTGCCCCATACCATACAAAAATGTTGCTTTTAAAATTTCTGCGTTGTTCCATTTTGGATGGGAAAATTATAAGAAGCATAAATTTGTTGTAACATTTGCTTTGCTTTATAAGACAACTTATTTCAAAACTACCCTACACCTAAGCAAAGAAAAAAAAAGGTAGTTTCAAAGGTTAGGTGCCTGAACCCAAAATGTGTTCCCTTGACCTGAAATTACCATTTTTGCTCTAAGTGAGAATTTATATGTGAGTAAACTGTATTTTTCTTAGTCTGAAAAATGAAAACAAACCCACAGCAATAAGATTATTTACCTAGCTCTGATTAGAACTGCTCATTTAAATTTGACATGGTGGCAGTATGTAATACGTGCCATTGTTTTGAAATCTGTTAAGCTGCAGCTGCTGTTTGCAAATGTTGTAGATGAGCACTGCCTCTGTAAGAAGTAGTTCTGCTGTCAGTTGATCCTGCTTGCTCTCATGTGTTAAAACAGCCACTTGAGTGCTTGCATAACCAGAATCTGAACCCAGAATAGAAGTAAATAAAAAAAAATTACCCTAAGTCATTGTGATTCAGTGCACTGCATAGCTGCATGAACTGTTTATTTGGACCCTAGTGGGGCTGATGTGAGAAATAGATCTTGGATGTGGATAAAGGCCAGGACTGCTTCCTGAAACCATAACATTAGCTCAGTTATGCTGGGCCGAGGAAATGAAGACCTAAATTAAAACAATGGCACACAATAAACATAGTAATATCCATTTGTTTATGTTTTATACCAAACATTTGTAATAATTCCAGTCAGTCTTCCAGATATTTTTTGTTGAATTTGCAATTAAATAGAGGACTATTTCTTTTCATAATTTATCATGTCTTTAATCAGCAGAATGACCAAAGAGGTAGTTAAAAATAATCCAGTACTCATGAGAGACAGAATAGTTTGTCTACATAGAGTAATTTTAAAAAATGCCTTTAGCTTTGCGCTTTTAAGATTTTAGTATTTTTAGTTAAGAAAAACACTGATAATTTATATTTTCTTTAGTCTCTGCCTCAACAACATTTAAATCCAGCATATGAAGATGCATGGAGCAGCAGTGACGATGAAGGCTGAATTTAAATTATGTGCTGATATAAAGTCGACATTCAGGCACTGCATTCACAGACTTTATCTACAGAATTGGATATTGTTGGATTTATCACGACTGGATTTTTGGTACAGTTCTGTTAGAGCAAGGTCTTCAGAAATAAATTTCCACTGTTCTCTGTGGTTTTTTGTCACTGTTAGAGTTAAATCTAAAGGATTACTTTTTCATACTGACTTTTGTACTTACCTTTACACATTGGTATACTTTATTTAGTGTTTAACAGCTGATAAAGAAAAAATAAAAGCCCTCCAGACCAGTCAATATTAAATTTTTTCTATTATCACTAGTACATGAGGAGATAACCCCTTCATTTCCAAGATGCATGATAGAGATGATTTTGCCTGAAGGAGGACTAGCTCAGGAACCAGCTTATTTTTATCAGTGTCTAGGTGGAGCAGACTGAATCCATTTTCAAGTGCTTATGTGCTGTGAGAGTCAACAGGTTTTTGTGCCTGTTCTCTAGTATTTTCAGTTTTGTATGTTTTTCCATAAAGGCAGTATTCAGTTCAGAAAGAGATATGGGGATCCTCTATTCAAGTATTTATATGGTGACCCCATCAGGTAGTATCTGAATCTGCCCCAGCAAGTTAAGAATAGAGACTAGTTTAATTAGAGGTTTTGTTGCTCCTGTAGCAGGTTTTTAAGATCAGTCTTTTATGTATGAATTTTTCACACATCCCTAGCCAACTTGAAGATTTCCTGGAAAAGCAGGCTTGAGGTACAGTACAAGGCAGAGAGTGGATCACATTTCAAGAATGTTGAATGTAATCCTTCAAAACTGTTTCAAAACATTTTGTGGTCCTAATGCCTGTTCTGTTTTAAAAGGGAGGGATTTTATGGGGTTATTCTCATCTCAGTCACTAGTTTGTGCTTCAGACATAATGTAGTCACCAAGCTGAGAGCTGAGTTAAAGGTTAGTGTCAGATATAGATGCAGCTCTACAGAGGAAAAATTCCTTCCAAAGTAGAGCGGAAGTTTAGACCACAAATTCAGACAAAGGGGAAGAACATTGTACAAACAAGTGAAAGGTAATAATTTAATTTTTGTATGGTGTGGAGATATTTCTGTCATTAGTATGCATGATAGAATAATTCACTGTGCTTCTTTATTTTGATATCTGTACAAGATACAGGCTGTCAGATTCTATATGCCTAGCATTGTAAAATGATAACAGCTGAGGAGTGGGCATATTAAGGGAATGTTGTAGTTAAACAACCTTCATATTTAGTGCATATTTGCTGGGACAGATCCACTGTTGACTGTATAGCTGTAGGGTCAAGAATTCCAGAAGTTTAGGCTGAAGTTAAGGACCCACCCGACACTCACTTTACAGGAATAGAGAAGAGCATTTTCTATTTTTTTCCCCATATTAGTTTTTATTACCAAGAGTGGCTGCTCCCCTCTAGAATCGGAAAAACGAGGGAACAAATTTGTCCCCATCTTCCTTAATGAAAGATGCTATAAGTCTTTCCTCATGAAAGAGCTGTTCTATCCCTCTGATCATTTTTGTGTCCCTCCTCTAGACCCATTCCAACAGGTCCACCTCTTTCCTGTGCTGAGGACCACAGAGCTGGATTCAGTTCTCCAGGTGGGTTCCTTTTTGCATGCTGATTTTGTCAGGAGTTCCTTTTTCATGCATGCAGACATCCTCCCGCCTTTGCCTAATTTCCTTACCCATGTGAGCTTGGACTATCCTTGAAAATCAGCCAGCTCTCCTGGACACTCCTTCTCATCAGGGCCATGTCCCATGGAACCTTTCCAGACAGAACCCTGAATAGGGATCTATCTGGAAATGCGGAAGTTTTCCTCTAAACTTTTATGGGGATCATTTTCATACTGTTGCTGAATAACTTTTTACACATCAGGTTTGCCTAAGTAGCACCACAAATGTGGAATTCAGCTCAAGAAGAGGTGGGCTGAGAATTATTTGCCCAGGTATCTGCCCACCCAGACACCTTTGGGTTTAGTGTCCCAAACAGTTGAGAATAGAAATGTTTGCCTTATGGGCTTATTGCTCCTACTGTAGCTAGTATCTTGTACATAGGAGTCCTTTCAAATCTTCTTCTGGTATCAGTTGTTGATGGCATTATTCTCCCTCTTGACTGTTTTCCTCTGCTGGAAGGGGAAACATTTCTGGAGAAGGAAATGAGAAATACGAGCAATAATTCAGGCATATTCTACAACCTAGCACCTGCAAACCTTCCATATAATGGCAGTAGCTGATAGGTGGTGTTTAGTTTGCAAGACTTGAAACCTCTTGGTACTTGCCAGCATCTCAAACACCAGTTTCCAGGAAAACTATACTTTGAAGAATGGCATTTTTATTATGATTTCCTTCAGTACTTCTAGTTTTCTGTAGATGTGGTAAATTTATTATTCAAGCTTTTTCTAGGAAAAAAGAAGTATTTTATGTCTGCTGCAATCTTATGGTGTCTGTACTTAATTTCTAATTAAAGTGTTAGTATCTTCAAAATGAAAATTTTTAAAGGACAGTGAAGGTATCCTGTATATTGTTTTTCACTGCCAAGAATTAAGTACTAAACCAACAGTATCAGTTGCAACGGTGCAATCTCTTGTTTATGTGTTAGATGTGATAATTAAATCTGAATCTTCTCCTTTGTTTATACCTGTTCTGCTTCAATGCTTATAACATGTGTTTTTATAGTATCAGAGCTCTTTCAGAACCAGAAAGGGATCAAGTAGAATAGTATAGACTTAATTGCACTTCCCATCCTTATATCAGTCAGAAAAAAACCACATCTAAAAATCCAGTCAGATGTCGAAATGAGTGCTGTGTTCATATTGAAATAAAGTTATTCACTTGAGAGCCAACTAGCTGATAGGTGGATTCTTACTGTTAAAAACAGTAAAAAAGTTAAGAATTTAAGGAGAGAGCTTAGGCTGTAATGAACTTCATTCTTATTGCAGTAGTGGTACTGGGATTTAGTAGTCATACTCTGTCAGAGAGCACAGAGAATCTAATCTTTTAGATTCTAGAGAATTTAATCTTTTCAGGCCATTCCAGAAACTGAATATTGCTTAGAAGACTTTCTTTGAGCTTGATACAGCCAGTAGCAAAAGATGGAAAAGCATTTATTCTTACAAGAGATCAAAGAGTTTCCTTTCCCTTCTAGCCTAAGGAAACAATAAAGGTGGAGTCAGACTGAGCTAGTCCAACTGAAGAAATACAAAGAGCCTAAGACAAGCCTCCTTCAGCTTAAGTGGAAGTTGAGTTCTGTGGAGACAGTAAGATAGAACTCTGATTATTTATGTCTAGGTTGTGATGCTCAGAAAGAATCTGATATTGAGACAGCCAAGAAAAGCCTTGTTCTTTTTTTCTTTCTGTACACAGATCTGGAAGAAAGCATTAGCACATGTGAATTTAAATATAGCTAACTCTCAAGTACTGGGAAGAACAAGTTAACACCATATGCTTACCTCCCTTTGCCCTTTGTTCTGTCCCTGGTATACTAGCTCTTACATACAGACTGATAAGTTTAAAAATGTATGGATTTGTTTGCCACCTTTTTTTTGCATTATTTGGGTTTGTAGTCAGTCCAGGCTTCTTGCTGCACAAGATATCTGTTTTTTTAAATCAAGAATGATTTCCTCAGTCAGGTTAGGGCCCAGAATTTAAGACCCCTATCATTGTAAACCTTAAAAAAATCTTAGATTTGAGAACATCAATAGAATTAGTTATGGGGGTTTTCACCTTTTATTTATCCTTGTATTATAGTCCTTATCCTACCTTGAATGTACACACACATATGTCTATGCACACAAGATATAAAAATATTTAAAGTACCACTGCTTTGGCACCATTGGAGGATAGTTCTTGGTTTTCTTCCTACCTAATTTTTACATGCAGGTAATGGTCTGGTGCATGTAGGTGAGAATTGCATGCTCTTTAGTGCTCACTGTCCTGGGATCTGCCACTGAGAATGGCTAAGCCTAGTACTAGCTTAGTACACGTGTGCTGATGGTTTTGACACCTGAGAGACTTCTTGAAGGCAGTATATTTGTTTCAGTGGTCAGGAGTTAGTGCTTGTAATACCCAAAGAAACAGAAGTATGTAAAACATATCAATAAAGTACTTTTGTGTGGGTAAGGCTGAGTTATGAAATGGACATGCCTTCTTCCATCCTCCCCCTGTCTTCTGTTTTCTTCTAGTCTATTTTATAAAAACAGTGGGAATGGAAGATAAAAATGGATGACTGAGGAGCCAGGAATTCAGGCAGGTGCATAACTACTCCCCACAGCTTCATCCCTTCTAATCATATCTCTGTGTGTGTAGTCAGCCTTACCCACCAGCTCACGGGCTCTGCCCAGATGACAACTAACCAGTGTCATCCAACACACTGGGAACCCTTAACCACACCCAGTCCTGCAAAATTCCACCAAGCCCAACAGACTGGAAAAAAATATTTGGGACTATGAAGGCAGGTTTCTATGTACATATGAAAGAATGTTTTAATTGCATAGGCACACAGCTTTGTTCTTATTTTTCATTTTATCACCATTTGCCTTCAAATTAAGGCAGAAAGAAATGAAGATATTTTTAGTTACATATTTTAGCTTTGTGCTAAGAATGAGTCTTTCCATCAGTCACTGAGGTCTGTACACTTAGAAGACTGGAAATCCAGCCTTTTCTTACAGTTGTGAGACAGAGATACATCTGCAGTCCTAAACAGGTTTTGTAGTAAATTTCCTCATGCCAAATTGGAGATTATAATCAGCAGTTTTAATCAGTCCAACCAGTTATTTTTACAACCATATATTTGTAATCTAGAGTAGCATGCTTAAGCAAGAACAGGGTAATGTATTCAGCAACAAAAATGATAGGTATACGCCTTTGTTTAATACAAAATAGATTAACATAGGGGGCAGAGAAAAGGGGTTTATTAAAACTTAGGGTGCATCTGTTCTGTAGGCAGCAGTGTGGTACAGAGCTGTTAACTTCAGCTTCTGTGAGCAGCCCCATCACACGCCGATGTACCTGGCTGGGGATGCTGTATTGATTCACCTTGACGGAGCTTTGCTGATGTGCTTCTTTCCTATTTTCTGTAGGTACGCTGTGTCAAAGGACACAACGAACACTGCCACTGGGGGAGCCCACATTTGCTGTGATAAAAGATACACCAGAGAGTAGGTGTATGTTAAGAATATCAGGTTCTCATGTTTTGTGGCAGTCAGTAGGGAGTGTCTTGTGTTGCTCAACAGTTAATTACGGTTGCTATCACCTCCTACACTGTTCTGTAACACCACAGGAAATCAGCTGATGATGATTCTCATGCTAGCAAAGATGAAAAAAAAAGTTTTGAGACTTTATAAAATAATAGATTTTGCCCATCTCTAGTTCTTCCAGGTGGAGTATATGGCCCCAGTGAATATATTTTTGTACCTGAACTGTGCACTGTGGCCTATCAGAGTTGAAGCTAAGTTAAGTATCCTAATGGTCTGATGCTGTTCTGTAGTTTTGCACTGTCACTAGTACAACAGGAGCCTTGGACTGAGCAGTTCTACACACCTGCTGTGGGAAATGGTCACATTTGGCATGTGCTTGGAATGTATTGCACTTCTCAGGCTAGTGCATAAACGATTTCCCAAGGAAAAAAAATCTCTAGAGTTGCATGGAACTTTGCCATCTGAACACTAATCATCATTGTTTATAAAGAAAGTTTCTAGAACACTTAATTGTTTTGCAGACAGCTAATTTACCTGAGGGCCTAAATGAATGTTTGAAACAACTGCTTCATCCTGTTCTACCACTCTAGATAACTATTGAAGTTTAGGTTGACTAATGAAGTATATCAAAGTAATTTAAATAACACTCAGCAATGGACTACTATATTAGATGTGGATACCTGTGAGAAATGCAGAACTCTGTGGTATAAGAATTATATTTGTGCTTAGCAGAATTCCTGTTTTTACAGGTTTCAATACCTTAGAAGGCTTGCTTTGTGTGTCCTAGATAGGTATAAGGTCATACTGGTACATCTCATATCAGTAAGGAAGTTTATTATATATTCTAGTGGCCTTGAAAACTGTGCTGGCAAAGCTTTTTCCCTGCCAGAAAGAGGAAAAATGATGCAAGGCAAAGGGTAGTAGTTCACAAGACTGCTCAAGCACTAAGCTTGACAGGAATAGGAAAAATAAGAGTGTTGTGACTTAATCCCAACCAGCAAGTAAGCACCACACCACTGCTTGCTTAGTCCCTCCCCCCCGGCAGGATGAAGGGGAGAAGACAATAGAAGGGTAAAAGTGAGAAAACTCGTGGGTTGAGGTAAGAATGGTTTAATAATTTAAATAAAATATAACTGAAAGTTGTAATGAAAAGGAAAAAGAAAAAACAACACACACCAAAAACCCCCAAACCAACACCAACCAAAAACCTATCAAACCACAAAGAGGTAGAAATAAAACCCAGGAAAAATAATTGCTGCAAATAAAAACAATTGCTTACCTGCACCTGACCAATGTTCCCCCTTCCCCTCACTTTCCCTCTACTTTTATTGTTGAGTGCAGGGCTTATATGAAAGGGAATTATCCCTGTGGTCACTTGGGGTCAGCTGTCCCCACTGTGTCCCCTCCCAACTCCTTGTGCCCCCCAGACTCCTCACTGGTGGGATGGGGTGAGAAGCAGAAAAGGCCCTGACCCCATGTAAGCACTGCTCAGCAACAGCTAAAACATCCCTGTATTATCAACCCTGTTTCCAGTGCAAATCCAAAACATAGCTCCATGCAAGCTTCTATGGAGAAAACAAACTCTACTCCAGGCAGAACCAGCACACAGAAGAAGGAAACAAAGGAGCCATTCCAGTTTACAGGTGGAAAAGTAGACCCCCGCTTGTGCCACAGGACACACAGGTGCAAATTCAGCACCACCAGAGGACAGTGTGAGTGGGGTCTGTGTGCGATGCAAGCAGGTGAATGACTTGCTATGCCTGGTGGCAGAGCTCAAGGAAGAGGTAGAGAGACTAAGAAGTATTAGGGACAGTGAAAGGGAAATTGACTGGTGGAGTCGCACCCTTTTGCCCCCAAAAGAAGTCCAGAAGTCCAGGCAGTTGGAGCAAACCTGGTGGAAGGGGGGGGAATGGAAACAGGTCCCTCACTGGAGAGGTAAAAGAATCCCCTCCCAACCCCCACCATCCCCCCACGTGCCCTTAGAGAACAGATATGAGGCCCTGGACTCAGAGAACCAGGCAGAGAACAGACAAGAGGAAGATCTGTCTGGAAGGTCTCCTGTTCGCCCCCCATCCAGCAGACGGATTACAACCACAGCTACAAAGAAAAAAAGAAGGGTAGTTGTAGTTGGTGACTCCCTTCTGAGGGGAACTGAGGGCCCTATATGTAGACCGGACCCATCTCACAGGGAAGTCTGCTGCCTTCCTGGGGCCCGGGTGAGGGATATTAGTAGGAGACTCCCTCAGCTAATTCGGCCCTCAGATTATTATCCACTGTTGGTAGTCCAGGCTGGCAGTGATGACATTAATGGGAGAAGTACCAAGGTAGTTAGAAAGGACTTCAAGGCGCTGGGTCGACTAGTTGATGGGACAGGAGCACAGGTGGTGTTCGCCTCAGTTCCTGCAGTAGCCAGGATGAATGAGGAGAGGAGTAGGAAA